TGTAGATTGTTTCAAAAAATTCTAGAATGTTCCAAAAAAAAAGTTTAAACTCGAAATTAAATTGTTTGAAATGTTGCAGAGTTCAAAAATGTTTTGAAACGTTCCAAAAAACGTTTGCAAAAATTCCGAAATATTCTAGAATGTTCCTAAAAATTTTTAGAATTCGTTGGAACACATTATAAACTCGTTGGAAAAAATTTAGATTGTTTTAAAAAATCGTATAATGTTCCAAAAAAAAATTTCAACCCGAAATTAGGTTGTTTGGAATGTTGTAGAGTTAAAAAATATTTTGGAACGTTCCAAAAAATGTTTCCAAAAATTCCGAGATGTTCTAGAATGTTCCTAAAAATTCTTAAAACTCGTTGGAACAGACTGTAGACCCGTTTGAAAAAATTTAGATTATTTCAAATTATTCTGGAATGTTCCAAAAAAAAGTTTCATCTCGAAATTAAGTTGTTCGGAATGTTGCAGGGAGTTCAAAAATGTTCTAGAATGATCCCATAAATTTTGAAATGTTCTAGAATGTTCTTTAAAATTTTTGGAACTCGTTGGAACAGATTGTTGACTTGTTGGAAAAATTTAGATTGATTCAAAAAATTTTAGAATGTTCCAAAAAAAAAAGTTTCAACTCGAAATTAAGTTGTTCGGAATGTTGCAGGGAGTTCAAAAATGTTCTAAAATGTTCCCATAAATTCTGAAATGTTCATGAACATTTTTGGAACTCGTTGGAACAGACTGTAAACTTGTTGAAAAAAAATTAGATTGTTTCAAAAAATTCTAGAATGTTCGAAAAAAAAAGTTTCAACTCGAAATTAAGTTGTTTGGAATGTTGCAGGGAGTTCAAAAATATTCTATGTATGTTCCCATACATTCTGAAATGTTATAGAATGTTCCTAAAATAATTTTTTGGAACTCGTTGGAACAGATTGTAAACTTGTTGGGAAAAAATTTAGATTGTTTCAAACAATTCTATAAAGTTCTAAAAAAAAGTTCCAACTCGAAAGTATGTTGTTCGGAATGTTGCAGAAAGTTCAAAAATGTTCTAGAATGTTTCCATAAATTCTGAAATGTTCTAGAATGTTCCTAAAAATTTTTAGAACTCGTTGGAACAGATTGTAACTTGTTGGAAAAAATTTGGTTTGTTTCAAAAAATTCTAGAATGTTCCAAAAAAGTTTCAACTCGAAATTAGGTTGTTTGGAATGTTACAGAGAGTTCAAAAATGTGTTGGAACGTTTCATAAAATGTTTTCAAAAATTCCGACATTTTCTAGAATGTTTCTAAAAAATTTTAGAACTCGTTGGAACAGATTGTAAACCAATTGGAAAAAATTACGATTGTTTCAAAAAATTCTAGAATGTTTTAAAAAAAAGATTAAACTTGAAATTGTTTGAAATGTTTTGAAACGTTCCAAAAATGTTTTTAAAAATTCCGAAATGTTCTAGAATGTTTCTAAAAATTTTTAGAACTCGTTGGAACAGATTGTAAACTTGTTGGAAAAAATTTAGATTGTTTCAAAAAATTCTAGAATGTTCCAAAAAAAAAGTTTAAACTCGAAATTAAGTTGTTTGAAATGTTGCAGAGTTCAAAAATGTTTTTTGAAACGTTCCAAAAAATGTTTGCAAAAATTCCGAAATATTCTAAAATGTTCCTAATAATTTTTAGGACTCGTTGGAACAGATTGTAAACTTGTTGGAAAAAATTTAGATTGTTTGAAAAAATTCTAGAATTTTTCAAAAAAAAGTTTTAACTCGAAATTAAGTTAATTGAAATGTTTTGAAACGTTCCAAAAAACGTTTGCAAAAATTCCGAAATATTCTAGAATGTTCCTAAAAATTTTTAGAATTCGTTGGAACACATTATAAACTCGTTGGAAAAAATTTAGATTGTTTTAAAAAATCGTATAATGTTCCAAAAAAAAATTTCAACCCGAAATTAGGTTGTTTGGAATGTTGTAGAGTTAAAAAATATTTTGGAACGTTCCAAAAAATGTTTCCAAAAATTCCGAGATGTTCTAGAATGTTCCTAAAAATTCTTAAAACTCGTTGGAACAGATTGTGAACTCGTTGGAACAGATTGTGTGTGTGTGTTGGAAAAAAAAATCGATTGTTTCAACAAATTCTAGAATGTTTCAAAAAAAGTTTCAACTCGAAATTAAGTTGTTCGGAATGTTGCAGAAAGTTCAAAAATGTTCTAGAATGTTCCTAGAAATTTTTGGAACTCGTTGGAACAGAGTATAAACTTGTTGGAAAAAATTAAGATGGTTTTAAAATTTCTAGAATGTTCCAAAAAAAAAATTCAAATTGAAATTAAGTTGTTTGAAATGTTGCAGGGAGTTCAAAAATGTTCTAGAATGTTCCCATACATTCTGAAATGTTCTAGAATGTTCCTAAAAATTTTTAGAATTCGTTGGAACAGATTGTAAACCCATTGGAAAAAATTTCGATTGTTTCAAAAAATTCTAGAATGTTCCAAAAAAACGTTTTAATTCGAAATTAAGTTGTTCGGAATGTTGCAGGGAGTTCAAAAATGTTCTAGAATGTTCCTAAAAATTTTTGGAACTCGTTGGAACAGATTGTAAACCCATTGGAAAAAATTTAGATTGTTTCAAAAAAATTTACAATGTTCCAAAAAAAAGTTTCAACTCGAAATTAAGTTGTTCGGAATGTTGCAGAGTTCAAAAATGTTTTGGAACGTTCCAAAGAATGTTTTAACTAGAAATTAGATTGTTTGGAATATTGTAGAGTTCAAAAATGTTTTCAAAATTTTTGGAATTCGTTGGAACAGATTGTAAACTTGTTGGAAAAAATTTAGGTAGATAGTTTCAGAAAATTCACAACGTTCCAAAAAAATGTTTTAACTGGAAATTAGATTGTTTGGAATTCAAAAATGTTTTGGAACGTTCCAAAAAATGTTTCCAAAAATTCCGAAATGTTCTAGAATGTTCCTAAACATGTTGGAACACACTGTAAAAAATTTAGATTGTTTTAAAAAATTTTACAATGTTCCAAAAAAAGTTTCAACGTGAAATTAGGTTGTTTGGAATGTTGTAGAGAGTTCAAAAATGTTTTGGAACGTTCCAAAAAATGTTTCCAAAAATTTCGAAATTTTCTACAGTAGTGTTTCTAAAAATTCTTAGAACTCGGAAGAGATTGTAAAACCATTGGAAAAAATTTAGAATGTTTCAACAAAACGTTCCAAAAATTTTGAAATGTTTTAGATTTAGAATGTTCCTAAAAATGTTTAGAACTCGTTGGAACAGATTAAAAACTCGGAAGAAATTTATATTGTTTGAAAAAATTCTAAAATGTTCCAAAAAAAAGTTTCAACCAGAAATTAGGTTGTTTGGAATGTTACAGAGAGTTTAAAAATGTTTTTAGGAATATTCTGAAAAATGTTTCCAATAATTCCGAAATCTTCTAGAATGTTTCAAAAAATTCTAGAATGTTCTAAAAAAAATCAAGAATATTATAGAATTAGAAGAATTCAAAAATTCAAAAACTGGACAAATCCAAAAATTAAAATTCATAAAAACTTGATAAACTCGAAAAAATTGAAAAATATTCAAAAAAAAATTAAAATTTTAAAAAAAAAATGTAAACCAAAAAATTCAAGAAACTAGACAAATATCAAAAATATGAAAAAAATTCAAAAAAACTTTATTCGAAAATATGTATAAAAAAAATTCAAGACTTGAAAAATTCAAAAAAATTAAAAAATCCAAAAAAATATGAAAAACTCGAAAGTTTGAAAAAAAAAAAAAAATAAGATTTGAAAAATTCAAAAAAATTCAAAAAACTGGACAGTTATAAAGACTTAATATACCCGAAAAAATTTAAAAAAATCAAAGAATGTAGAAAATTAAAAAAAAAAAAAATTGTAAATTCTAAAAAAATTAAAAAATTTAAACCAAAAAATTTAATTAAATAAACAAATATAAAAGATATGGAAAAAAACTACTCGAAAATATTTAAAAAATTCAAGATTTGAAAAATTCAAAATCAAAAAACTGAAAAAATTCAAAAAAAAAATCAAGAATATAAAATTAAAAGAATTCAAAAAATTGGAAAAAAAAAAAATAAAAAATTTATAAAAACTAATAATGAAAAAAATTCAGAGAATGTAGAAAATTCATCTGTCAAAAAGTTTATTGTTGGAAAAATTGATTTTCTTGAATTCGAGGTCGTAGGTGAGTGTAGAATAACTAAAGATGACTGTAGAACAACAGTAGATGAATGCAGAATAGCATAGAACAATTTATAGATGTAGATGAGTATAGAAACAACTGTAGATGAAAGTTTAGAATTAAAACTCTAGTAGTTTGTAGATTAACTGTAGAAGAATGTAGGTGAAATTGAGGAAAACTGTAGATGAAATTGCACAAAACTGTAGAAGAAAATATAGAAGAGTATAGATGGAACTGTAAAAGAGTGTAACAATTGTAGATGAAAGTTATACTCAAAGCTGTAGAATGTAGATTGAAAGTAGTTATAGATTGTAGAATGGAAGTTATACTATTACAATTGTAAATTGTAGAGTTAAAAGCCACAATATGGAAAGTTGTAGATTTTAATTTTTTTTTTATCAATAATTATAATCTACAGTTGCACTAAAAACTGTAGATTGGAAGTTATAATAATTATTATAATAGCAGTAAACTGTAGAACAGTTGTAGCATGAATTGTACATCTACAGTATTTGAAGTTTCACATAGAAAATTGTAGAAGAGTGTAGATTAGATGAACTGTAGAGGAGTGTAAATGGACTATAAAGAAGTGTATATGGACTGCAGAAGATTGTAGGGGAACTGTAAGAAATTGTATAACAATTATAGGAGAGTGTAGAACAACTATAGAAGAGTGTAGAATAACTGTAGATGGACTTTATAATCAAAACTGTAGCACATAAACTGACATTTATAAACTGTAGATCAGATGAAACTTATACCACAACAGCTATACATTGTATATGAAAAGTTATAGAGTGTAAATGAGGTACTTACGTAGATTTGATGGTAATGCACCGTTCCTGTTCATCCTTTCTGGTATCCGTAAATCTAGTCTCACCAGCTTTGGCTCCAGCAATGATTCCAGCTTTGGATACAAGGGAATCGGTCAAAGTCGATTTTCCATGATCGACGTGAGCAATGACCGACATATTACGGATGTTCCGCTTTTTGTCCATCATGCCACGGATCTCGTCTACGGTAAAATTCACCTGGAAAAAAAAATAAAATTGTAAATAATAAAGAAAACATATTGTTGTGCAATCTTGGGCAAAAATCAAAATACAACTTTTCCGTGCAATTTTTCCCAAACAATATTTACATATTCTTGTAGGGTTTTTAATGGAGAAAAACATAGGGATGGAAAATTCTAGAAAAATCGCTTACCATTTTGGATGTTTGAAGATTTTCTCGGGGCGGACAAAAAACTTCGATACGCCAACGATGGCGCACACAAGTGAAAAGAACGACGGAGTCTCGCTCAGAATTTTACGTCAACACAAATCGTGTGTTTTTTTTGACAGCTGTCAAGTCGTTGCGTTGGGACAACGAGGCGTGACATGCCATTAAAAACCGTACAGAAATCTGTAATTTGTTAACTAAGAATAACTTTCCTGAGATTGGATTTTCAATTTCCAAGCAAATATTTTGTTCTATATCAATGAAAAACCAATTAAATATCGATTGAGAAAATATAAACATATCGATAATTAATAAATATCAAGACATTAAGGATGTCATTGGAAAAAGAAATCTGTAATTGATCAACTGCAAAAATAATTCAAGAGATGGCGCCACAAAAATTTAAAATTGATAAATAGAATGCTATGTTAATATTTGTAATTAAGATAGAATTCTATTTATCGTAATGGGAGAAAAAATTAATTTATTGATTATAGTTTAGGGTGCATCAAGTTCAGGAACAAAGTTTTTGAACACTTTTCACTCCACAAACTGTTCGAATAGCAAATGGGAGCGAATTCGAAACTGAAATCTACTTTAGAGCAGAATACAATTCTGAAATTAGTGATGACAACTTTATCTTCGAGCAGAAACTTTTAGAGTGAGTGTAAGCTTTATTTACTACACTCCGTATAGCCAAATATAAGCGTAAACACTCTTTCCACTCTAGCGGAGTAACTAGAATACAATCCGCTTCCAGTTCAACTGCACATAGTTCTAGAACAGCCACATTTTGTCCCAAAAATGCGAAAAATTTTATACAAATCGTGTTCCAAATTGTTTTAGAACTGTTCTGTTATTGTTCCAAATCTATCTGGGACTGATTTTATTGTTCTCGAATCGTTAGTTAGTGCAAATAACGCCGTTTTTTTTTTGTAATTTGTGCAAGTTAATGCACTTGGAGCAACATTTAGTAAATTTAAAGCAGTTGGTGCTATTAGAGCAAATATAATAATTGAAACAAAACAATCGATTTTGATAAAAAAAAATGTAATTTTTTAGGCCAATAATCTTACTCCGTTCACTCAAAAATGGTACCCGAACCAATAAAGTAGCTACTCTAACTATTAGGATATTACTTTTTAGTGTGAATAGAGTAATTAGAGTAACTAAAACACACTTGCAAATGCCAATAATCTTACTCTATTTATTCCAAAAAAAAAAATAGTGTGTTATAAAAAAATCAAATAGAGTTCAATTAAGGATAATTTTACTCTACTTACTCTGGAAATAATTAATGGAGTATAAAAAAGTACAATTTCGTACGATTTGTGCCCTCTAAAGTACTCCGTATTCATTCTAATTGTTCAACTAATCTTTTTAACGTAAATTTATGTGTTCTTGAGTGATTAGAACTCACCCCAAAGATTTCACAACGTAATCTGAAACTCTTGGAATCTGTTCCTTTTACTCTTTTTTTGTTAATTAAGTGCAAATAATCTTACTCCACTCACTCTGAACACAAGATCCGGATCAGTGAATTATAAAATAGTTAAAAAGAGTGCAGTTTTAAGTACTCCGTAGGTACTCCAACTGTCAAATTAGCCTTTAACTGAATTTTCGCTACGAACCACATCCATGATTTCTCAAACACAAACGCATTCGCCAGTAACTCATGACGTTATATTGAACGTAGGTTGACAGAAGTATGGACTCAGCTTCTAGCCAGCGTTCAAATTCATGACGTCACAGACGAACTTGGATGAATTACATCCGTCGCAAAAATTCGGTATTTATTCAAGTAAAAAGAGTTTTCAGAAGTTTGGAACAGAACTACGGTTGTGTTCCGTTTTTTCACTCCAAATACTTTGTTAGCAATCGCACTCGACTGTTCGATTACGGCTTGTTAGAAAAGTAGAGTAACTAGATGCATGTTCGTTTATACAGAGTGAAGTAGATGAATCTTACTTTCCTGGCGTTCGTTATTTTGTTCGAAGAGCAGAGCGTACAGAGCGGAACCGTAATTACGTGAACGGTGAGCGCATAGAGCAGTTAGGCCGGAGTTTCATGCATCCGTTTTTCCGTCGAAATATGTCCGTTTAACATTCTATTCTGACATAATCGTATATAAATATATCAAAACGGATCAACGGATTGACGGATAAACGGATGCATGAAAATCCTCCCTTAGGTCCATAGTGTTCAGAACTGCCCCTGGAGCACATAAAATCAGTTCAGTTTGATTTATATAAGGATTTTGATGTTATACCAAAAAAAAATAAAACTCGAGTATATTCAATCTCACTCCGGTTACTCTGAAAAAAAAAAAAAAAAAACGAAAAAGAGTATCATTCCTAAGCGGAATGTACTCTAGTTACTCCGCTTTTTCGAGAAACTGCTATTTAGAGTAAAAGGAGTGACTACATTTATATTTGGCTATACTGTCACAACTACCCGCTTTACGGGGGTGACATGGGGGGTTTGTAGCTTTGGGGGTAGATGGGAGAAACTCGCTCAGGTTATATAAAAATATATGCTATATATTTTCCCAAATATAACCTTACATGTATGCTAATCCTATAAGGTACATGACCCTTCGTACACTGGGGTCCTTATAGGGGGCCACACGTCAATTCTGCTTGGGGGACTGTAGATAAGTTTATCGTCACCCTTATGCCTTGTCCAGAGGGGCGTTCCCAACGAGAGGTAATTGCACTGGATAACGATAAGGCTGAAGATACCCAGAGGGGCGTTCCCAACAAGAGGTACTTGCACTGGGGAGACTTAATTCCAGAGGGGCTTTTCCAACGAGAGGTACTTGCACTGGTTTAAGTCTACCTTTGCTGCGGCTTGCAGCGCAATTTATATTAATTTATTGCTGAATTGCAATAAATATTCGATCGAATCGGCAATTAAATTAATAAGGTTGAATACCGGGTCCTCCTTTCCCAAGCAGCTAGTTGACAATACGAAGTGGAGTTAATGAAGCTCACTCTAAAAGTTTCTGCTTGAAGATAAATTTGTCATCGCTGATTTCAGAACTGTATTCTGTTTCAGAGCAGTTTTCAACTTCGAACTCGCCCCCATTTGTTATTCGAACAGTTTGTAGAGTGAAAAAACTGTCAGTCAAATAGAGTAAAATTCTTGAACTTGGTGCACCCTAATTATAATCAAACTTACTCCGACCATTCAATTGTCAGAAGAGCCATTCCAGAAATTTTATTTTCATATAAAAACTAACAAAATTACCTAATATTGATTCGGAACAGTTTTTTGATTACTCTAGCTAAAAAGAGCAAATTTTTACAAGTGAACCTGGAGCGAAAAAATGTCGAACAGCAGACTCCTTTTACTCGAATCAGGGCAACTTACAGTTAATTCCCAAAGAGTAGTTAGAGTGCCAACAGAGTAGTTAGAATACCAAAATTGTATATTTTTTTTAACTTCTTTATGCTCCATTGATTCGAATATTGTGTTCGGAGTAAGTGGAGTAAAATTATTTGTGTTAAATTAACAAAAAAAGAGAAAGGAGCAAACTCCAAAAGTTTTAAATTACGTGTTGGAACCTTTCGAGGAAGTTCTAATCACGTTAAAAAAAGAATAATCGAACAGTTAGAGTAAATATGGAGTACTCTGGAAACCCTTAATTAAACTCTATTTGCCTTTGATACTCCACTAATAGATTTCGGATTAAGTAGAGTAGGATTATTTACACCTGCAAGTGTGTTTCAGTTATTGTAACTACTATATTTACACTAAAAAGCCAGTTCCGAACAGTTAGAGTATTTACTTTATTGGTTCGGGTTAAGGTTTCTAAAGTTAATAAGTAATGGGTAATTTGATGACGTCATCTAAGGTGCCTTATGGAGATTTGCATTATGTTGTGAGAGGAAGAATATCCCACATGACATCATAAAAGTTATCCAGCAACAACACAACTTTCTTCTATCAAACAACTTTGGATCGGGTACCGTTTTGGAGTAAACGGAGTAGGATTATTGGCATGTGGTGTGAAAAGAGTAGAGTTTAAAAGTTCCCTTTAATAGATTAATTTCAACTTAGCAACTTTTCACTTTAAAATCGTACAGATTTGGACCCAATCCGTGCGTTCGGTATTTTGATCTGAGTCCTCCGAGCATGAATTTACTGTTCTTTAATAAAAAAGTGTACTCGGTGCAGGCTCATTCACGTTCGTTTATTAAAATTTAGAGACCTCTTCTGATACAACGCTTAAGGGAGGATTTTCATGCATCCGTTTTTCCGTCGAAATATGTCCGTTTAACATTCTATTTTGACATATTTATATACGATTATGTCAGAATAGAAGACATAACGGACATATTTCGACGGAAAAACGGATGCATGAAAATCCTCCCTTAAGCCTAGTACTCATAACTGCGAAATTCGCATTTTTTTGACATTGCGTTGATAATTTGACGTTTTATGCGTGTATCAAACGTCAAATTGTCAACGCAATGTCAAAAAAATGCGAATTTCGCAGTTATGAGTACTAGGCTTAAGGGAGGATTTTCATATATCCGTTTTTCCGTCGAAATATGTCCGTTATGTCTTCTATTTTGACATATTTATATACGACAAATAATTTTACTCCACTTACTCCGAACACAATATTCGAATCAATGGAGCATAGAGAAGTTAAAAAAAATATACAATTTTGGTATTCTAACTACTCTGTTGGCACTCTAACTACTCCTTAGGAACTAACTGTAAGTTGCCCTGATTCGAGTAAAAGGAATCTGCTGTTCGACATTTTTTCGCTCCAGGTTCACTTGTAAAAATTTGCTCTTTTTAGCTAGAGTAATCAAAAAACTGCTCCGAATCAATATTAGGTAATTTTGTTAGTATTTATATGAAAATAAAATTTCTGGAATGGCTCTTCTGACAATTGAATGGTCGGAGTAAGTTTGATTATAATTAGGGTGCACCAAGTTCAAGAATTTTACTCTATTTGACTGACAGTTTTTTCACTCTACAAACTGTTCGAATAACAAATGGGGGCGAGTTCGAAGTTGAAAACTGCTCTGAAACAGAATACAGTTCTGAAATCAGCGATGACAACTTTATCTTCAAGCAGAAACTTT